GTTGTGTAGAGCTTTGTGCTTTTGTACGGAATGGTACGGCGCATTATCCGTAATAATCATATGTGGTTCATGAAGATTTTCTAGTAACTTTCGAATTTCATCTCCTCATGATATTGTGTTGTTTTTGTTGAATTGAAAGTCAACAAACAATAGGCTACGAAACCATTTGCCGTCACTGCGTGCGTAATTATCAGGCGTTGTCCTCTAGCTTCGGGTACTTTGGTGACTGACTGTGCCGTGCCATCATTCCAAGCTTTCGGTACGGTGTGGTTCGCATTAAGCCACGTCTCGTCCAAAAATGCGACTTTGTCCCAATTTATAATATGTTTGGCTTTTCAAAAATGGTCCACCTATGCCAAGGCAATATCTGTGTGCTTATTATTTATTTATTATTATTATTATTATTATTATTCTTTTATCGCATTGTTTGTAAGCGAAGTTAATTTTGTATAGTATGATGGCCAATTACTGTAAACTTCCTTTAAATAAATCAGAGTCTTTAAGGGACTCTATTAATTTTCTTAGTTTTGGATGTTCAGCACGTCTATAACACGCGTATACATGGTTGCGCATTGAGACGTCATCAAAATCATCAATCGTAGTAATACTCGAAACTCTCCTTCTTTTCTTTTCTTATTCGGCGTCGACAGTTTTTTTCCATGTCTACCTCTACCGCTTGAGCTAATGATGCCTTGCCATACTTTTCCTGCGTAATACGAGACACCGTTGCACGACCGATGCCAAGAGCATCCGCAACTCTGTTGCCAACTTGGCTTTGAGGCAACTACTGTCCGCCAGTTTGACTCACGTTCCAAATAATCTCGCAAGCGAGCCACAAATTTGCGATATTCGTTCTTTTCCGCATCTTTTACCCAAAAATTACATAAGCTTAAAGAAAAACTCAACAAAAACTGTATAAATCAGAAAATAACAAAAAACTGAACGAAAGCGTATACAAGGCACTAACGGCGCGGCGTCAGAACTAGTACTAGACATGTATCAATCGTGAATGATTCGTCAATTTGACCGAGTCTCTTCAAAGAATTGATGATTGCAATTACATTTTTTTAATGTTCCGGATCAAACTATTGACAGGACCTACTAGCAAAGAGTAGGTATATTAATATCCGACGACCGACATCAACCGTCTCATAGATCACTGAGTACTGAAACTTGAAATTATTCATTTGAATGATCGACCCGAATGACCCGGATCGTAAGACGAATCAACACTGGAATGATGATCACCTGATGGTAAGTGGACGCTGTGGCCCATAAACATCTACATTTATCCTCGATTAAGAATCAAAACGCAGATGCGTTGTCACCCCTGAGGACTAAGATGGAATGCCTCGTTTCCAGTAAAAAAGCGTCTCCGAATCACTACCCTCACCATACGAAATACAGCAGTATTAAGCTGCTATTTTACGCTGGTATTCCTTGAGAGCGTGGTCCTTACCCGGTCGAGCTGACTGATTCTTGCTACAACTATAATTTAGCCGCAGCGTAGATCTACCACATGTAAATTTGATAGAGTGTAGTTATTTTATGTGCTACATATTTAAATTTTCCCTATTGATATATCATTAATTGAACCCATTATTTAATACGTTTCAGAACCAAGCATAAGAAAAGTAATATATAGTAATATATATATATATATATATATATATATATATATATATATATATATATATATATATATATATCCGTTATCCGTTAAGAGGTTATAGTGTGCATCATTTCTGTCTGATTTGACTATCGAACACCATACCCCAAACTGCCAAGCTGAAGCGTTTTTTAATACAGGACTAAAGTTTTTTTCATGAAATAGACGATTTTCCGCCTATTGCCATTTATTTTGTAATTAGTTCCTCTAATATATTCGATTTTTCAATTTTTGTGTACTCGAAGTAGCCGAGTTGTTTTATTATTTTCAACAGCAACATTGCAAGCAACTAAACTAATTGGCTCGTACTCGTAGATTGAACGTTAGAAAAACGAAAAATTACGTAAAAAGTTATTTTTCTTTCAGGAATAAAAAAAATCTACGGTATGTATGTTGCAGATGTACTTATAAATATCTACATTTCTTCAGCTATCCAAGAAAGTATGACACTGGGTATTATTATAATTAATAGAAAAAAACTTAGATGAAAAGCTCCCAGGTAGGTAGGTAGTATCAAATAAAGGTGTTTAGTCTTGGCGTAAAATAAAACAATCCAAATAAGTACTTTTTTACAGCTCATGTTCCACTTGTCCTCCTCATTCTCGCACGCATACTCTCATTCTGTTTCTCAGCCCACTTTTTACCACACCAGTGGTTAAAGATCTTCTCATGTCATCTGCCGCATCGATTTTTTTTTCTTAAAACTTTAACAGATACCATTGAAGTCAGTTTGTTGTATATCAAACTATTCATGGATTTCTAGCTGGCCACGGTATGGGTCCACCTTTTCCGATCAACTTATTGGGATAATTTGTATCTAACCATTCTTTTAAACTTCTCCTAGTAGTGTGCAAGGCAACCGTTATGTTGAAACATGTTCAGAATAAGATTGAGCGGTAAATCATCTAGAAGGCCGGGTACATCATATTTTAAAAAGTTTTCGTATTCTCCATTTAATTTGTCACGGAGAAAGTAAGGCCCAATCAAAAGGTTTGATATTACACCGGTCTTTCAAACTGAATCGTCTTTGTGATCCCTTTGTGCCTTTCTTATTGGGACGTCCATGTTCTTTCGAGGACCATTAATGAGCGTTTTGGTAATTGGTTATACCATCTCTATCGAATTCCGACTCATCTGTCCACAAAGTGTTAAAATATTGTAGCAAATTATTTGTATATTAAACTTACATTTAATAATAACTTTTCGGTTACATAATTAAGTTATTAATTTTAATGAATGTTGTACTTGTTAATTTTAAATTTTGCAAGGTGGAACATAGAGAAACTACCTGATATGGTATACCTATGGTATGGTATAAACCTATTTTCGTAAAATAAACAGATTTGATTTAATAACAACTTAAAATAATTAGGAAAGCTGCGGCTGCCAGCCCGTCTGCCACAAACGTGGCAATTGTGAGAAATATACCTATGAGGCAATCTATGGAGAATTCTTATCTTCAAAATTGGAATTCAGATAGTAGATAAATGAAAGAATGAAAGTCAAATGCTTCTGTGCTTCGTAAGGTAAGTGTAGGGAACTGAATAAACTTTTTAATGGTAACAAGACATCCTATCTTAACCCTCAGGGATGAGTTTACATATGCGTTTTGATTCATAGTCTAGGCTATTACCATTAGGTGGACACTGTGCTCGTTTATTAGCCTGACTTCTATATGAAAAACTTCCACCATTTCTTGGAAGTACTATCACGGCACTCCGCCTAGTCACATCTTATTATAATAATGTCCTCCAGACCGAATTTCGCTCACGAAGACCTGTCTCAACGGAGACTTGCCATCTGCGCTGGACAGGGCTATAGTGCCCTAACGTATGTGCGAGCACAGGAACGCTCTCTATTCCCTCACTCTCATATTCCGATGAGAAAGTAATCTGACGCAACCGAAAAAAGATCAAGCGCTGAACCAACGGCTACTGGATTTCCGAGGCACGGGGTGACACACCGTTAGCTTCCTGACACCGGGCTGCTACTGAGAATTTCCGAGGCACGGGGTGACACACCGTTAGCTTCCTGACACCGGGCTGCTACTGAGAATTTCCGAGGCACGGGGTGACACACCGTTAGCTTCCTGACACCGGGCTGCTACTGAGAATTTCCGAGGCACGGGGTGACACACCGTTAGCTTCCTGACACCGGGCTGCTACTGAGAATTTCCGAGGCACGGGGTGACACACCGTTAGCTTCCTGACACCGGGCTGCTACTGAGAATTTCCGAGGCACGGGGTGACACACCGTTAGCTTCCTGACACCGGGCTGCTACTGAGAATTTCCGAGGCACGGGGTGACACACCGTTAGCTTCCTGACACCGGGCTGCTACTGAGAATTTCCGAGGCACGGGGACACACCGTTAGCTTCCTGACACCGGGCTGCTACTGAGAATTTCTTGACAGAAAATTCCAAATCTTTTGGTCCGACCCGGTTATCAAACCCTTAGTCCTCAGGGGTGACAACGCATCTGCATTTTGATACTCAATCGAGGTTAGCACACAGCATCCACCTGCCATCGGGTGGACTGTGTTCTCGTTTGTCACCCTTGTTCTATAAAAAATGCAATAGCGTTTCAAACCTACACAGTGCGAGGGATCTCGTTGTGCGATTGTTGTTTGTTTTTCTCGTTGTGTTGTTACGAACGTTATCATGAGATAACGATCCCGTATCAGTGCCATATCTCCGTCAGATGGAAACGAACTATTCTCGAACATCATAAGTCGCTCACCTGGAGATTATTTGTAGACAATTTCATTCATATTTGTCATAAAATTCAATTATGTATTCAGAACTACATTTTTCTAGTGCTTGGCATAGCATTTGTATCTGTTTTCTAGGCATAAAAAATAGTACACAAAAAATCGGGTCTAAAAATAAAAATTTGGATTTGTGTTTTTGTGCCTGTGTAAATCTTTCTGGGTCTATGCGAAATGTCATATATTATTAACTAAGACAAGCGCATTTCTATTCATTCATTTATTATAGCCTATAAAGTCCAGCTGAACAAAGCTCACTCCCCCATGGTTTGCTTCATATGGGGATATTTACCACAGTTGTCACGACTTTTGCCACGACGAACTTTTGTAACTTGAAAGGATCTTACTTCGACTGTATTTTTAGTGAAAGTTTAATTTTACAACTTGTTTTCCCACTATCGCCTCTAAAGACACTCACGGAACAGTATTTGGTTAGGTCAGTGTTAATGGATACTCGTACATCTCACACCGCCACTAAACGCGCGGAAAAAAATACTTTTCTAAATTTACTTCGCGTTTTCAGTTGTATCAATTTTATTGCAGAAAAGTAATTTCCTTTTAAGAAATGAAACCTTATCGCTACTGGCGTGTCAACGCTGATAAAACTAATTCACTTTTCGTCATTCACGTCAGTGGCGGTAGTGATATGACGGGACACGCACTGCCTGAAACGCGTTCGGTTTTCCCACAAGATACTCGTACAGGTGAAGTGGAAACAGGAAGTGAAGCAGTGAGAGATGAAGCGAACATGGGCGGGACTGTTAAGGCTAGCACAGAAATAAACAATACCACATATCCCACAAGTAGTTTGGGTGAAAGTTCGAATGTAGGTGCAAAGAAGGTCGATGGACAGGTGGGTGGTGGGGAGGCGCTGGAGGCAGCGTTGTGTCAGCTCGGCCCTTTTGGCTCCTACCAGCGATACGTGCTGACGCTACTCTGCCTGCCCACCCTGCTTTCTGCCATGTACTCCTTTAACTACGTGTTTGTTGCTGAGCAGGTGCCTTTTCGGTAAGTGAAATGTTGGTTCTTTTTGTCATTAGTGTAAGATGTAGAATAAAGCGAACTGTTATCATCTCCTTGTACAGTACTCCTTGAATATTCCCTATACAATCCGTACTGCTGGCGCAATCCGAAATCATCTTCTTGATAGTTAATGTAACTCTATTATGAAGTGGTGCATGTACTTGAAATCAGTCAATATAACAATATCATGACTTTGTGGTCCTAAACACTATTCGCTGGTGGAGTTCGGCAGCGGTGTTGTGTCAAAGTATCACTTTCTGATAGAATAAACATGACAAACAAACACATAGCCCAACTGTTGATAAGTGAATTCTACGGACCATAGACATCTAGATATATCCTCAGTTAAGTATCAAAATACAGATGCGTTGTTTCCCCCTGAGGATAAATATATAATGCTCAATGAAAAGGGTCTGCGGTTCGCTACACTCACCATACACAGCAACATTAATCAGATATTTTACGCTAGTATTCTGTGAGAGCTCGAGCTCGTCTTACTCTGGTCGAGCCAACTGATTCGTACTACAGCCATAATATGGCTATAGCGTTGCTCTACCATGTTTCGATCTTCTATTGTTTTAAGGTACAGGTTTTACAACGTCATAGAGCCACGCTGCAACTATATTATAGTTGTACCACGAATGGGTCGGCTTTACCGGAGAACGACCATGCTCTCACAGAATACCAGCGTAAAATAGCAGTGTACTCGTAATGCTACTGCGTTTCGTAAGATGATTGTAGAGACCTCTTCGATCAATAATATTATTGATCGAAAAGAGACCTGAGACAAACTCTCAATTAAAACCACTGTCCCGGCAGCGGTGCTCGGTCTCGGTCTCGGTTAGCGCTAACAGGTTTATTGTTTGTTTTTGGTTTTATTGAACAAAAGGTCATTTAGTCGAAAAGTGATGTAAAACATAGTTACTGCATAACAATACAATACAGAGACTGTATAATACAATACAGATGTGAAAACTTGCACAATTATGCAATACACACAGTACAGTTCAATTATACAGGTAAACCTGTCAGGAACACCATGGCGTCCTTTATTGTCCTCTGTCACCTCTCAGGACATCCACGGGATGTCATGAGGTAGTGTGTGTTATCTAAATTCGGTTGTACGTATACACTGTCATCATCATCATCATTCTCTAAACCATTTCCCATTATCTGGGGTCGGCGCAGTAAATCTTCTTGTTCCATTCCTCTCTATCAGCCGTCATTTCCATACTTACTCCTTTCATTCTCATATCACTCTTCACACAATCGATCCATCTTTTATTCGGCCTTCCTCTGCCCGTGTGTCCCTCCACATATACACTGTCATCAGTTCAAAAAATAAAAAATATAAGTATCATTTTCACTTACAATGTGTTAACAATGGCAATTTACTATTAAAAGCTAATTTAAAAATCTAAAAATGTTATCGAAATATCGCTCAAGTAAGCTAAGTGGATGCTATAACCCATAGACATCTAAATCAAACCTCGATTAGGAATAAAAATGTTAACATCCCTTCTATCCATCCCTGAGGACTAAGATAGAATGCCTCTTTTCTTTTTTATAAACTCACCATTCTAAACACAGCAGCATTAAACTGCTATTTTACGTTGGTATTCTGTGAGAGCACGGTCCTTCCCCCGTCGATCGGGATATACAACAATAATATATCTTCAGCGCGCCTCTACCACATATAAGTAATAGTATCTTGATAACGAGAAAATAAATTTCCTACCTGTTTTTACGGGTAAGGTTGCAATATCTCTTGAGGAATTAATTAGCAAACATTCTAGATAATTACATTCAATGTCATTTGTAACGCATTGTTTTTTAAACTTTATACGGTATCATCATCTCCTTGACCTGCTTTTTATTGAGTGTATGTCAAGAAGTTAAGCTTGGTTTCTTCATCACTTGATATGGACGCAGTGCTCCGTCTATCGTTGCTTGTGTCGCGTCACCAATGATGCTATCTGATTACGTGTAATCGCATTCAAAATCTTTATTTTATTATTTTATCCTTTTTTATACGAGCTCCATCGTACAAAAATCGTACCGTAAAAAGCAAACTCACCGCCAAAGTATAGCCACGTTGCAGCTATTATGGTTCTAGCATGAATTGGTCGGCTCGACCGGGGAAGGACCACGCTCTCACAGAATACCAGTGTAAAATAGCAGCTTGATGCTACTGTGTTTCATATAGTGAGTGTAAGAAACCAGAGACTCGTTTTAATGGAATCGAGGCATTCCATCACAGTCTAGATGTCTGTAGGCCACAGCATCCACTTACCATCACGTGGACTATGTACTCGTTTATCACCTTATCCTATAAAAAAATTCTCTACCGGTTAACCACGACCAACTTTTTACTAAAAGTTAAAAAAAAGTTAAGATATGCTGTCAGTAATAAATTTGACGTTACCTAGATTTAGCAAACACTTTCGACTGTAATTCTTTACAATTTAGGATGACAAAGAGGCGTAATCCACCTGATGTAAGTGAATGCTGTGGCCCACAGATACTTTCATCAATCCTCAATTTAGATTTTTTTATAGGAGAGGGGGCAAACGAGCATACGGCTCACCTGATGGTAAGTGATTACCGCCGCCCATGAACAGCTGCAACACCAGCGGGGTTTGCGGATGCGTTGCCGGCCTTTTAAAAAGAATAGGCTCGTATCGGTCCGGAAAAATCTCTGGTAACTTCTTATAAATCGCACAGTGGTGGACCGCCACTCATTCAGATGGTATGGATGGTATCGCGAGTTTTGTCGCGATGTGCGATGGTGAAATTGTGCAGCTGGAACTAGTTCGAACAATTCCTCAGAGCACTCCCCGTGATAGACACGATAAAATACGCAAATACATGCAACATCTCTTCGCAGTGCCAGTGAGTCAAGCTGATCGTAAAGAGCTCGGTTGCCAACGATTCAAGGAAGCTGGCACTGGGGAGCCCCAGCCCAGAGATGGGAACAGTATTCCATGTGTGTTCGAACCTACTCCTTGTAAAGTTGCAGGCGAGGTGAGCCGGCATGAAATACTGTCCCGCTCTGCTGAGCACGCCAAGCTCTCTAGAGCCCAATTTGGCCTTTTCTTCCAAGTGACCACGAAACTGCACGCGATCTGCCACTCGATATGTCGAGGCCGAGGATTTTGATGCTGGCTGAGGCAACAAGGGAAGTGCCTTGAAACTGAGAAGATACCTCAAAAGGGTTCTTTTTAGCGGTAAACGCGCAAACTTGTGTCTTCTGGGGATTAAACTGGACTACATTTAGCCGCCCATAGTCCGAGATTTAGTTTAACAAAGTCTCGAGTTCAGACACAAGTTTGTCCCGATACTCGGCGACCTTTTTCCGAGAAATATTGGCAGGTCCAGTGTATAAAGCATCACCAGTGTTGTCGTCTGCATAGCAATGAATGTTACCGGTTTGCAACATGTCATTGATGACGAAGAAATAGCGTTGGTGGTAGCATGCAGCCTTGTGAAATACCAGCGTGAATAGGCCTGTAATCGGACCATGCACCGTCTAGTACGATCTTGATGCTCCGATCTGCAAGAAAGCTGGTGATCCAATCGCACAATTTCTCGGGAAGCCCATAGGAAGGAGGCTTCATAAGAAACGCTTTGTGCCAAACCCGATCGAAGGCCTTCGCTATGTCCAAACTAACGGACAACGCCTACTCATTGGTCTCTACTGCCTCCGCCTATTTATGAGTTAGGTATGAGAGAAGTAACCCAGAAGTTCACTAGCCAAGCGACCGCGACGGAAACCGTATCTACTGGCGGTTACTAATCAGCTGGTTATCCTCAAGATACCGTATGAAATTGCTGTTAATAATGGATTCCATTATTTTAGAGAACAAGGAGGTGATGGCAATAGGCCAATAGTTGGACGACAATCAATTAATACTCAGATGTATAATCATAATAAGGTCTCAATTTCTCATCGCTCATCAAACAATACAAAACAGAGCATTAAGCTTCTATTAATTGCTACTTTTTGCGAACTTTCCCAGAACGAACCGACGCATTCGTGCTGCACCATGCATTTAGCGTTATCACTAAGCGACGTAACCAAGATCCGTAATAAAACACAGCAGTGTCCACGAACACAATGTTCATTAGATCTCATGTCGGCCACGGCGACCGCTCTCAACGGAGACTAGCCATGTGCGCAGTACTTACAGTGCCCCAGTGTACGTGCAAGCACGCAGCAGAGGAACGCATGGTTTAGTTTACTTTTTTCAATGCGCTCCCGTTTGTTAGATGAATTTTATTACTATTGTAATAGCACAAAATTACATATTTTGTAATATAAACGGCACGTGGCATTTGTTGGTATCGTTAGTAACATCTTTGTCACCACATTAAAGTCAATTTCAAGTATAAAGCAATAAAGCAACTCGACATTGTTTTGGTACTTGAATTTCTAAAAATTTTACTAGAAAAAAACCATTTTTTGTTGTTTGACTGCACTGAATAATCCCTGAGAGTGAGTGGTCGCTTCAAGAATAAGTTTTGTCAGTAGTTTGTACAATCTTCTATCTCATCTCCCGCTGGGTTCCGCGCTGATTTTCCCAGGACAGTGTTTTTTTCCGAACCAGTGGTAAAAGTAAAAATTACTTTCAGTGAGAATTACTTGCAATCTTAGTAATCTCAGTGAGAATTAATTGAATAAAATATTATTTTAAATGAAACTAATTTCACGGGTTTTATCGCGTTTAATTCAACTTTTTAACCCCGACGTTACAGGTGTTTTACAGTTCCCATGGTCACTCCTCAGATTTAACGTGCAGTAATCGCATAAATATAAGAAATCTGTAAAAATATTATTTTATTCTATTCTTTAGTTAATATAAAGTAGTTATACAAACTAACTTGAAAGATAATCGCATGTAATTGATATGCTTAGCGCACGCATTTGTTTAAAGTTTTATAACTTGACACTTGCATAGATAACGAAATGTGGGACGGCGAGCAACAAAACTCACGGATAACAAGCAATGATAATTACTGCTTAAGAACTTTTGAGAAAATAATCAGCCCTTTTGTCAGCAACAACGACCAGGCGTAGCTTTTTTTAATTAATGGATTGCCTCGTTTCCCGTATACAGGGTCGTCGGTTCTCTACACTCACCATACGAAACACAGCAGCATTAAGTTACTAGACGCTGATATTCTGTGAGAGCGTGGTCCTTCCCCGGTCGAGGCGACCCATTCGTGCTAAAACTATACTACTAATATAACTGCAGCATGGCTCTACCTCTCTATTTATGTTTACGGATTTATCGGAGACAGATGAATGAAACGATAATTTTTTATTACATTTTATTATTTTTCAAGGGGGCTCTCAATAAAATTAGAAGAAAATATTATATTATAAGAAAAAACATAACAATCCGGGAACAACCCAGGGTTCGGTACCGCCGCCGGCACCAATGAAATTTGTTAATGATTTCTTATGTTTAGGCGAACACTACACGTTTAAAGAAAACTAGTTTTTACGGATTATATCGTGTATATAAAAAATTGTTAATTACAAATTTATGTGCTGATTTACTTCGTGTTCTGCGGCGAAGGAAAACATCGCGAGGAAGCCTGTGGAGTCCGCCAACACGCATTTACTTTTCTGAACATGGCCTCCCCTATGGACTACGTCGTAGTTGCCACGGTTGGCAAGCGGGATGGCAATCGCGGTTTTTATTTTTAGACTCTTACGACAGTTAGGGAATGACATGCGGTAGTGTATATTGTTACACCACCACTACACGTACTTGCAGTTTGTTATATTGCTTCATCATCATCATTACAGCCCTTCACAACTCCACTGCTGAACATAGGCCTCCCCCAAGGTATGCCACAAAGCATATTCCTGAGCCACCTGCATCCATCGACTTCCTGCATATCTTACCAGGTCGTCACTCCATCTAGTGGGGGGTCGCCCTACACTACGCCTACCGGTACGAGGCTGCCACTAGAGAAACTTTTTTCCCCATCGGTTATCGGTTCTTCGAGCTATATGGCCGGCCCATTGCCACTTCAGCTTACTAAACCGTTGGGCTACGTCGGTCACTGGTTTTACTGCGGATAACCTCATTTCTGAGTCTATCACGCAGAGAAACTCCGAGAATAGCTCTCTCCATAGCTCGCTGAGCGACCTTGAGCGTCCTCATACGGCCAGCAGTGAAGGACCACGTCTCAGATCCATAAGTCATCACTGGCAACACGCACTGGTTGTACAATCTAGTTTTTAGAGGTTGAGGTATACCTGACGAGAAGATATGTCGTAATTTCCCGAATGCTGCCCAGCCGAGTTGAATCCGTCGATTGACCTATCGGTCGTAGTTGGACTTGCCTAGTCGGACTATTTGTCCCAGGTAAACGTACTGGTCAACAACTTCGAGCATAGTGCTCCCAACAGCTACCGGCATAGGTGTGACATGGACATTAAACATGATCTTTGTTTTGTCCATGTTCCTCTTAAGACCTATCCGTTGGGAGACACCATTGAGGTCTTTGAGCATAGTGCTTAAGTCCTCCAGCGATTTTGCCATAAGGACTATATCGTCGGCAAATCGAAGGTGAGTGATGTACTCGCCATTGATGTTAATACCGTATCCTTTCCAGTTCAGTAGCTTAAAAACGTCTTCCAATACAGCGGTGAAGGGTTTCGGGGATAGAACGTCACCCTGTCTTACACCTCTCTGCAGTTGGATAGGTTTCGTACTCTGGTTCTGTACTCGGATAGCCATCGTAGCCCTACTGTACAAACACTTGCTTAGTCCGCTCATAATGTTTAAAAACTAAACGTTAAAAAAAAGGTAGTACCGATTAAAAAGGATAAACTTATTTCCACACAATTGTTTCTGAAGATGCATGGATTCTTTATTCTTCGTTAAACTACGTCTTAGATTATTTTATTTATTTGAATTACAAGTTTTTTCTTTTTTTTTCAAATAACATAATATTTAACAATTTCTTACATTTTTACACATTATATAAAACTAATTTTTACGGATTTTATCACGTTTAATTTAACTTTTTAATTCTCAACGTTTCGGGTGCTTAACAGCTCCCATGGTCATGGGGGCACTGGGTTGTTAGCCGTCCTGATGTCATAGTTAGCCCGGCTAGATTCAGTTTTTGAATATTAATATTGTTTTAATTTTTTCATATCCTTTTTATTTTATTTTTTTCTGCATAGATTGAATCTAAAAATAATATTCAAAAACTAAAGGCAGACGTGCTAATTATGACATTGGGACGTGAAAGCACCCGAAATGTCGGGAATTAAAAAGTTAAACTAAACGCGATAAAATTAGTAAAACTTAGTTTCATTAAAATATTATGCTTGTTGAAATAAGAAATTGTTTTACATACTAGCTGACAGTATGTAAAAGAATCAAAATCGATTCACAAGATTTGAAAACTTTCATGTTTCTCTTGACAATCGCAGCGCCTGATGTGCCACGCTTTGGACGCTGTTCGCCATATTGTAAACTTAGTATCTACGCTTATTATACGAGTACGTTAGAAATTCTTTTTCATAAGGTAATATATGTAGGAGTTGGTTCCAGGTGTCCATGGGCCGCAGTAGCCAGATGAACTTTAAGATCAAGCCCTGGGTGGAAAATGTTCAGTCCGACAGTGTCAGTGTGACATACATTTTAGCGGCCTCAAAACACTGCAATGCAAGAGCTTATTTTATTTATTTATTTACTCTTTATTGTACACCAAAATACAAAACATCAAGAACAGTTAAATCTAAATTAGAATATGTACAATAGACGGTCTTATCACTCTCAAAAAGATTTCTTCCAGACAACCTTTGCGTAGAGAACTGCAAACAAAAATTGAAATAGAGATTAGTATAACAATTTAAGTTTTTACATATATATTGTTTTAATACAAACTATAATAGCAGTCAACCTGGTGGGAAGTTGATGCTGTGGCCCATTAAAATCTACATCTATCCACGATTAATAATCGAAATGCGGATACGTTTTCACCCCTGAGAACTAAGGTGGAATGCCTCGTTTCCAGTAAAAAGGGTATCCGGTTCTCTACACTCACCATAGGAAACTCAGCAGCATTAAGCTACTATTTTACGCTGGTATTCTGAGTAAGCGGAATCCACCCCCGGTCGAGCAGACCCATATGTGCTACTAATTATATAGCTGCTACATAGCTCTACCACCTGTAAGATAATGAGGGCATCTATGATTTTTCCGTCACCAGAACGATGTCAATTTGGAATGAGGTGAAGAGTTGCTTCATGCCTTACATTTTATGTTAATAAGATTAGAAAGGAATAAACCAAACTACGGATATCTCTGAGTGGGAAATTAAATAAAAAGAGTTAAAAATGTGCAAAATATAAAAAGCAAACAATTGAGGTGTTATTTTGCGTATTAACATAATGCTCTAGAAACCTATAAAGTTTCATTTATAACTAATTTCTCAGTTAAATGACATTGTGTAAGAAAAACTTCACCTGAGTGTCTACTAGCGACATCTATTGAGCGGAAGATTATGTGACTTCATATTTTTGACAGGTGTGTGGTGCCGGAGTGTGAAGGCGTTGGGGCATCATTTGGAAACACTTCAACATTGGCACTGCTCAGCCCGGAGCCCTGTCGCCGATACGCCCCGCTAAGTGACGCCCCCACCTGCTTGCGCGAGGACTTCCATCTCAATAACACCATCAAATGTGAAGCTTTTATCTATGAGAACCAAAACACCATTTATGCCGAGGTGAACTATTTGCTGCAATCGCATTACGTTCAGACTATGGAAACTAACCTTCGATAAACATTTTTAAGCTTCTCATTCATTTTAATCCTTTTAGGAAAGGGTTACAACTTTCCTGCTTCGTTGGTCCAGTGATCCTTCGAGGTGGTGTAATTTAAAAAACTACTACATAGTAGAAATTCTTTTCTGCTTAAGACTCCTTCTAGATAGGGTACCACTACATACGTGTTTCAATCTAAAAGGTATGGAATACCAGTATAATTACATACCATGAAGCGTTCCATCTTAGTGCTCCGAGATGTCTACGCATCTGTAGCCTTTTTTTTTGTTTGTTTTTTGTTCTTTACCATGTAGTATATTCAATATCCGTGGGTGCCGGAAGAGGTGAAAAAGTTTTCCTCTGGAAACTAATCAGGGGATGGGCAGCAGCAGGCAGCGACTAAAAAGAAATTAATATTGCCAACTAGCTTGCTGAGCGTGCCAACTATGGCAAATATCCACCCTTTGAGGCAGTTTATGGGGGAAGCCTATGTTCAGCAGTGGACTTTAATAGGCTGTAACGGTAACTGTAATGGTACAAGACAAAGCAAACCGTTTGATCCCAATGCGTTGAATATCGACAACAAAGGGGTGAACACCCGCCGACCGCCTGGGAAGGAGAGGAAGAAAAAAAAACAAAATAAATGGTATAAACAAAAAAAAGAAGTTGAGAAGTAGATGTTTGAGGGAGAACTTGTGTCTCAGTTCGGGCTGGCGTGCCGCGAGTGGCTGCGCACGCTGGTGGGCTCGGTGCGCAACGCTGCACTCCCCCTCGCGTTGCTGCTCACCGGATACACCTCCGATAGGTAACACCTAAGCGACCTGATTCTTATGCTATTTCATCGGTTAAGGTAAAAGTTATAAATACATTTTACGTGGTACAGCCATGCTGCAGCTATATTGAGGTTGTAGCTTGTAGCACGTATGGCTCGGCTGGAACGAAGTAGGACCACACTCTCACAGAATACCAGCGTAACATAGCGGGCCAATGCTGCTCTGTTTCGTATGGTAAGTGTAGAGGACTGGAGACCATTTTACTGGAAACGAGGTATTGCATCCTTCATTTCATCCTTAGGGATGGCAACGAATCTGCATTTTGATTCGTAATTGAAGATATATGTAGATATCTATGGGGCCCCAGCAACCACTTACCATCATACGGAATGTAAGCTCGTTTGTCACCCTTATCCTATAAAAAATGGCGTGTAGTGCTGGTTCAGAATCCACTACCCAGATCGTCCCGTGGGTGTCGTAAGAGGTGACAGAGCGACATTAAACCATAAGATGGGCAGAAGCATCTTCCTGACAACTACTCAATTTCAAGATAGATGAGGCAATCTATAGATGAGTCCTTTGTTAAGCAGCAGGCTTATAAAGGCTGTATTGGATGGAAAACCACATTATTGAAGGATTATTATAGTGCCGGGTTTTTCTTAATCAGATCGCTCTTTAAATGTAATTGATAGTTAAACGAATAAATAGGTATATAATAGTATTTACGTTTATGGTTAATTATATGTGTTTTATGTGTGTTTATTTCCTACCTATTTCTCTTGTTGCCATAAAACTTTATTAATTTTGAAGGTGTCATGTTTTCTTTATTTATTTCTTTTCTTTATTTTTTAAAAACTATCTCCCCACACTAGAATTTTCGCCTGTATCGCAATTTTTACATAAATTTCACCAGGATAGTCATCCAGAACCGGAACTATTATTTGTAGAACAAATATGAATGCTTGTTCCGTGCGGGATTCAAACCCACGGCCCCTAGCGTTGCAACTCATTGCTAAGCCACTGCGCCGCGGAGCCGTCAAACGGAAGTATTACGATTCTTGAAAAATGCAATAATAGTCTATTGCACACAGATCTTTGTTAATAATGATTTAGATACTTGTTTCAATTTGCTCCACTGACCTAAAATTCTTCCCACTGATAATTTTTTTATAGGATATGCTGTTACATTACTAATATTCAGTTAACACTGTTTGCAATGCTTATATTATAAATAGTTCACGACAGTGGTCGAATAGCGGATACAAACCTACGCGTTATAATTTTCGCAGTCCGTGCTGTTAACCATGAGGCTATTGTCGTTTATTTGACAAAAATAATTACTTAAATATAATCGACATCGCTCGATCATTCTTAAAAAAAGACATACAGAAAGATAATAGTTGAGCTTTAGTTTTGTCTTAGATTTAGAATTGTTTGTCTACATTTGTGGTCTCTGTTTGCTTATTTAATAGAAACCAGAAAATATTCTTGAGTTTTCAATACTAAGTAGATCATCAAGTCAGGATCGTAAAAGTTTACAGAGAGATCTTTAAATATCGGTAGGGCATTGTCTAAAAATTTCGCTGCGAAGCTACGGAACTCAGGTTGGAATTCCGTACGAAACAACTCAATTTATGCAAAAAACGCTACTAACTACGTCACAATAGAACATTCTAGTGCGATTGTGACTTTGAAAAAATAACAAAACTTAAAGAAAATATAACATTTTGTAATGTGTATTTACATATCAATATGTTATCATAATTTAATTTACTTTACGCATTACAGAACCACACATTATTGATGAATTAAAAAAAATTATACCTGTGTGTTCGTTTTATAAGATCATTCCTTCTTCTACAAGACAAATAAACAACACGTAACAAAAACCCTGTCGTTGTAGAGAAACAGAGTGCAAGATATTACTTCAGGAAACTCGACCATAAGAAAGTCAAAATAAAGTTATAGTAAAATTTCTATACGTTAGAATATTGGTTCTATTAACTCATTTAAAGGGTTTTTTACATGTCGTAGAGATTGTATTGGTAGACAGTATTGAACTGTTTCAGATGGGGTCGTCTCACCGCGTTCTGCATTTTCTCTGCATGCGCCGGAGTCCTTGGGCTCATCAAATCCTTCTCCGTCAATTACCAGATGTACATTGCGCTGGAGTTTCTAGAAGCAGCACTTGGATACGGATTTGGAAGTGCAGCTTACGTCATGGGTGTGTTTAGCCCCTGTACATTAGAAGTATCAGTTGATGAAAGCGTAAAAAGGATACCACCTTTTTAATGCTGTAGGTTTAGTCGGTCATTATTAAAATTCAAAAGGCAGTTAACAACTCGAGCCTGACCACATTATATTATTATTATATTATTATTATTATTATGTGGGGTATCTATATAGTTTTCTCATCTGGTTGGGATGTATAAATATATAATTATACATGAAAATGAAAAGATAAATATACATAAATATCAATAAAATAAAATAAATACAAAAATACATAAATAAATAAAAGCCCAACCAGATGGAAGCCCTCGGCAGGGGAGACCAAACGGCCAAGGGTTAGGGGGAAAGGGAAAGAAACCGGCGGACGATGCGGGCAGTATCAAGGAGCACCGCCTTCTGCATTTGAGCCCGGAGCGGTCCGTCACGGAGTCTCAGTCGCCTCAGATGATCAGAGAGGCTAACTGGGATTAGCCCATTCGTAGAGACGACTACAGGAATAATTTCGGTCGGCATACCACCCCACATGTCGGTCACCTCGTGAGCCAGGTCCAGATACTTTGATTGCTTATCTGTTTCGGCTTTCACGAGGTTCTCGTCATACGGGACGATAATATCGACCAAAAATATCCTTGACTGTGCCCGGTCCATCAGCACAATATCAGGCTTATTCGCAAGAATAGTCCTGTCTGTGATGATGGCCCGGTCCCAGTAGAGCCTGGCGCGGTCATTTTCGAGCACGGCTTCCGGCAAGTACTTGTAATACGGCAATTTCCGGTCCACGAGACCGTATTTCAGAGCGAGCTCCTGGTGTAGAATTCTGGCTACTAGGTTGTGCCTGTGCAAGTACTCAGAGTTAGAAAGCGCCGAACAACCGGAGATGACATGCCTAAGTGACTCACCGGGATGGCGACAAGCTCGACAGACGTCGACGGTGCCATCCTTTAGGATGTATCTCCGATAGTTGTTGGTCTTAATAACCTGATCCTGTATTGCACAGACAAAACCCTCGGTTTCCCCGAAGAGGTCACCGAAACGCAGCCAGTTGAGGGAGGCGACTGTGTCTACGAAGGGCTCATGTAGAGCCCTGTAGTACCTCCCGTGGAGCTCTTTCTCCTTCTGTCTCCCGGTCGGAAATGCTAAGCACTGCTGGGTCCTGCCATTGCTCGTTGGCTAAGGATAGAGGGGTAAGCCCTTTATCACTAGAAATGACGTCATTATAGAATGGATCATCCGATCTCGCCAGGAAGTAATGACGGAGGCTGCACACTTCACGATTATGCATGGTGAGCGCGCTCAGAAAGCCACGCCCACCATGCTTTCGCGGCAAGTAGAAGTTAAGTTCAGTCTGACTCCACCTGAGTATGCCAAAGGTATACATAAGGACAGGTATGACCCAACCGTTATATGCGTGTGTCTTATTCACACCGGACAAAAGGCTATTAAGCACTTTGGTCAAGCGTGCATAAAACACGTCGCAAACTGACTGTTTCATACCAGCCTCATCGATACCGATGTTCTGTGACATACCCAGGTATCGGTATGTTTCAGCCTCGGAAAGGGTCCTTAAGTTGACGGGCATAGATAAATCTATGCCCTCAGAGTTAGCAACCCTTCCCCTTTCAACATGGAGGACCGCACACTTATCCGTCCCCAGCTCCATTCCAATGGAATTGCTAAATTCACAAGTGATGTTTAGCAATTCCATAAGATGGGAGCGACTGGAGGCGAATAACTTGAGGTCATCCATATAGAAAAGGTGGGTCACTTTTGCCCCTCCTTTCCGTAGCTGAAATCCTGAACCAGATTGGACTCAGACAATCGCCCTGGAAGATACCCCTTCTTATCCTTATGTGGTTCTCCGCAGCCATCATCCGCTCACCCAGATGACAAAGGATCGTACTCCACTGCCCCATACACTGCTCGAGGAAGTCTCTCACTGTACAGTCTATCTTGTACAGCTCGAGGACTCTCTTTAGCCATGTATGGGGCACCGAGTCGAATGCCTTTCTGTAGTCTATCCAGGCGGAGGAGAAGTTCCGACGGTTGCGTTTCACCACTTTGCCAATGACCGCGTCAATGAGGAGTGGTTCCTTGGTTCCACGACCACCGCCCCGACATCCATTTTGAGCGCGTGACATCACCTGATTTAGCTCCAGGTGACGAGTGATTCTCGCGCTCAAAATGGATGTCAGTGTCTTATATATGGTGGGTAGACACGTAATGGGGCGGTATTTGCTCGGGTCTGTGGTAACCTGGTCTTTAGGAACCAAATGAGTGATCCCAGTAGTGAAGAGGCTAGGGAGCGACTTCTGGTTGAGAGCCTCTTGAAACTGACGGGCGAGCACAGCGTGACACACCATGAACCCCTTCAGCCAGTAGTGATGCAGTCCGTCGAGTCCCGGACTTTTCCAGTTCGGGGCTCTACGGACCGCCTCAGCTACGTCATCCGGCGTTATGATGACGGGGTCCATGGGCGTAATACTCGCACACTGACTCGCCACAACTTCCGTCCAAGAGCCCTCGCTGTGGTTTACGGGCTCTGACCACAGGCCACGCCAAAATGCGACAGTGTTAGCCTGATCCGGTCCTGGGCCCGCTCCACATACCTCTGGTCGCTCCAATGATTTGTAGAGCTTCTTCTGATCACTCTGGAAGAGACAATTCTGGTTGAACCGCCTTGACCTCTCGGTAAATCGGCGAATCCGCTTCCCCCAAGCAGCAATCTTTTGCTTCAGGTCGTCTATGCGCTCCGTTAGTTTCTGCGTGATATCCGGCTGGGACAAACTGATTTTTGTCCCAGCAAACGCCATTCTAACGGAGCGCACAACCCTCGGTCTATTATTACCCGACCTGAAGCTTATCAGTCTGCCGATAAGGGCCCTTGCCTTTGCGATACGGTCCTCAATTCTTTTTCTCCAGGCTGGGATGGCGCTACTTTGTTTAGTAGCGCGTCCAGCCAGGGGAAGTTTGGCGCCAATAATACGGCAAGCTGCCACTGCGGCGCCAAAAAGAACTGAGTCCGTCTCGCAAAGGTCCCGGCTGGCTTCCAAATAGGTTACCAGCATAGGGTTAAGAGCCCTCACGACAGCCCGATTTCGCTTGCTTAGGGGTATGCGAGGAAGTCGCGGTCGATTTTCGAGAGGCATGGTGCGCGTTTCCAAAATCGCCTCTTCCAGTATACTCCTCATTTGCTCTAGTTCGTGGGAGACCATTTCATCATCGTCGGAATCAACCACAACTGGAAGATCCATGGCAGCTTCTACGCGTGGCAGCTGGTCTGTCGCCTGAGGAGCCGCATCCCCAGCCGTAGCCAATTCATTCGATGAGGGAATGGCCTCACGCCGTAGTCGTTCGAGCTCGGCATCATCAAATATTTTCGAGCGCATGATGTACCGAACTCGGTCTGCCAGGTTTTGTTCCGTGTCGGGAATAGACGGCTCCAGCTCAGCAAAAAAGCAATGCATCCGAGCCCGATACGCGATCCCCTTAGTTTCTTCCCCTTTCGCCCTATAGTACGCCCGCAATGCGTTTGCGTTCATATCTCTTGTCCAACGCATGCGGCGCACTCCACCAGCGGCGGTTGCCGCTTGCCGAGTCCGAGAGGACCCTGCCGACATCAAGCCGTCTGGTGGGGATGATGGATGCGGGGGGCTGCTAGGTGATCTTGCAGCTCCTCGCGCTCGGCTGGCGGCCCGCATGCTGCCGCGTCCAGCGCCAGCTCCAGACGCGCCCCGGCGACCCCCAGGCAGCGGCCCTATACGCTTTCTAATCATATCCATCATCCTTATTATTATTATTATTGTGGGGTATCTATATAGTTTTCTCATCTGGTTGGGTGCTATAAATATATAATTTTGCTCGGGTCTGTGGTACCCTGGCCTTTAGGAACCAAATGGGTGATCCCAGTAGTGAAGAGGCTCGGGAGCGACTTCTGGTTGAGAACCTCTTGAAACTGTCGGGCGAGCACAGTGTGACACACCACGAACCCCTTCAGCCAGTAGTGATGCAGCCCGTCGAGTCCCGGACTTTTCCAGTTCGGGGCCCTACGGACCGCCTCAGCTACGTCATCCGGCGTTATGGTGACGGGGTCCATGGGCGTAATACCCGCACACTGACTCGCCACAACTTCCGTCCAAGGGCCCTCGTTGTGGTTTACGGGCTCTGACCACAGGCTGCGCCAGAACGCGACCGTGTCGGCCTGATTCGGTACTGGGCCCGTTCCACTTACCATTGGTCGCTCCAATGACTTATAGAGCCTCTTCTGATCACTCTGATCAGACTGGTTGAACCGTGTCGACCTCTCGGTATATCGCCGAATTCGCTTTCCCCAAGCAGCGATTCTCTGCTTCAGGTCGTCTATGCGCTCCGTCAGTTTTTGCATTATATCCGGCTGGGACAAACTAACATTTGTCCCAGCAAACGCCATCCTGACGGTGCGCACAATCCTTGGCCTGGTATTGCCTGACCTGAAGCATATCAGTCTGCCGATGAGGGCCCTAGTCTTTGCGATACGTTCTTCAATTCTTGTTCTCCAGGCTGGGATAGCACTACTTTGTCCAGTAGTGCGTCCAGCCGTGGAAAGTTTGGCGCCTATAATACGGCAGACTGCCAGTGCGGCGCCAAAGAGAATTGAGTCCGTCTCGCAAAGGTCCCGGCTGGCTTCCAAATAGGTCACCAGCATTGGGTTCAGAGCCCTCACGACAGCCCGATTCCGCTTGCTTAGGGCTATGCGGGGAAGTCGCGGTCGATTTTCGAGAGGCGTACTGCGCGTTTCCATAATCGCCTCTTCCAATGTACTCCTCATTTGCTCTATTTCTAGTTCCTGGGTGAATGTTCCTTCATCATTTGAATCAGCAACCACTGGGGTATTCTCGGCGGCATCCACGTGTGCGGGTTGTTCTGCAACTTGTGGCACCGCACCCTCAGTCGTAGCGTTTTCATTTGATGGGGGAACAGCCTCACGTCGTAGCCGTTCGAGTTCGGCGCCATCAAATATATTTGAGCGTAAGATATACCGAACTCGGTCTGCCAGGTTTTGCTCGGTGACAGTAATAGATGGCTCCAGCTCAGTAAAAAGACGATGCATCCTAGCCCGATACGCGAAACCTCCAATTTCTCCCCCTTTCGCCCTAAAATACGCCCGCAATGCGTTTGAATTCATATTGATGGTCCATCGCATGCGGCGTACTCCACCAGTGGCGGGTGCCGATTGCTGGGCCTGCGAAGACCCTGCCGACACCAAGCAAGCTGGTGGGGATGATGGATGCGAGGAGCTGCTGGGTGGTCGTGCAGCACCTCGCGCTCGGCTGGCGGTTCGCATGCTGTTGCGTCCAGCGCCAGCTCCAGACGCGCCCTGACGACCTCCAGGCAGCGGCCCTTTGCGCAATCTTCTATGTTCCATCATCCATACAGGGCGTCATTTAACGGGAGACGCCCAGACCCGGCGCCGTTTCATGGTGAGGCCATATGCACAAGCGGGCCCTTGCACCATCAATTTTTGCCGAGGCACGGCGCTCACACCTCTTGGCAAGGTGCTGACTGACTGCGCGGACGTAGCGGTTTTGTCACATAACCGTCACGTCAACGGGCGATGGGGTCGTCACTTCCCTACGCCCTTATTATTATTATTATTATTATTATATTATTATTATTATTATTATTTACACATTTTTATATAAGTAATATGAAAGCTAACCGTATAGTGGCGGTGCAAGTATATTCAGTAGCCCATGTCGTTCCGTGCGTGACGCCAGAGGCACAGAGGGAAACTGCAACAGGAGATGGGTGGGCGGAAGGATCTTCCTGATAACAACTGGAAATAATGAAATACCGTCAGACGCACAACCGAGCGGGGACGCCTGCAGTGCAAATTCTCCCTACAGCGGTAAAGGCAAATATCTGGCGGTGAATGACTTTACGTTCTGATAATAAAGAAGCCGCGCCGTGTAGTGGCGGCGTAACGGAATCAAATATCGTAACGGAATCAAATATCCGTTACGAGATGCGACAGAGGGAAATCGAAAAAGGAAGTAGGCAGCAGAAAAATTGAGAAATCTATGGGGGAGATCTACTTTCAGCAGTGAACTAGAGAGCCTGTAAAAATTAAAATATATGAAAGCATAACATTGACTGATAGCTGTGTTGTCAACGTATTTCAATGGGAGTACATAAAATATATTAACTGATGCCTAAGAACTTTCATTGCAGTTTATATTATTCTAAAAAAATATTTTATAATTTTTAAATTGCAACTTTTTTAATTACCAACGTCTCGAAAATCCCCTTACGTTGAGGGTCGAGGGAGGAGTTAAAAATAAGCCCGATAAAACTCGTAACTTTAGATTTATTCCATGTAGAAAAAGTAAAAACTGTAAGTAAGTTATTAGCTATATTTAGTTATACTTAACTACATTCACGTAAATATAAGAAATCAGTATTCTGTCGACATTTTACAACTATAAACATTGTCACAAATGTCCTTCGATCTCGAATGATTGTTAAAGTACATGTGAGCATACTTTGTTTAAATAATTTTTCAATATTTACTAAACTAGTAGTAAGAACAATATATTTACAATGAACAGTTTTTTTTACAGTAGCAGTGGAGCCACAGTCCAGCTTTATCGTGGTTTTATCACGAATGGGTCAGTTCGACTGGAGAATAAAAATGTCTCACAGAATACCGAAAGGAAATAGTTTTACCGGTAACAAGGCATTCAATCGTCCTAAAGGGTGACAACGTATAATATGCATATAGGCCACTGCACCTATTCATTATAAATCTCTTTAAACAAAATCAGTGTTAGATTATGAAACAACGTTCGCGGTTTACAAAACTAAAAACTAGTCATTGAAGAAATATGTACTACGTATTAGAAGAGGCGTCCAGACTTGGTTGTCTGCAATACGTGTTAAGCTTACGGGCTCAAACTTACTTAATCTTTACCATAAGAAGTTACTCTGTACTTCCAAATACGTGCCCCGAACTGCCACACAGATTTTATTCATGGTGTCTGCTCTAGTACGTAGTACATATAACTTCAATGGAAATAGTCTTTTCGCCTGCTCGAAGTCGACTAAAGGAGTTACGGAGAATTAACCATAGCTTAGTGCGCAAAGTCAGCGTCAAAGTCTGTTTAGTAGTATACATAAAAAAAGTAACATAAAATTATTTGACCACACTCGATGGGTTACCGAGAATTGAGTATAACTTAGTGCGCAATGTATTAAGAGCTGAGAAACCGTCTAGTAGTCTTTGGCAATACTTGATGGAACGTGTTCTCTCAGTGGTGGAGCTAGCACGCCCATCGCTGCGCGCTATGTTCGCGTGCGCGACGGGCGTGGCGTACGGGGTGGGCGGAGCGCTGCTAGCTCTAGCTGCGCAGCGGCTGCAGTACTGGCGGCAGCTGCTGCGAGCGCTACACGCGCCCGCACTACTGCTGCCGCTCTACTGCCTGCTGCTGGACGACAGTGTACGCTGGCTCCACGCAACCGCCAGACAAGACGAAGCGGTCGTAGTGCTACGTAAGGCCGCGAGGTGGAATAGGGTACAGTTTATATGTGTCAATAACTATGTAAGATCGGGCGCGAAGTGAAGGCGAAATGCTTTCACCAGGGTGTGTGGGACCAGGACTCCTCGTCTCATATATTCGCGGGCACAATAGCGTGGGAATGGAGCGACAATCCTGATAAGACGGATTGGTCGGAACCTCTGCTTGCCAGCAGTCGTGTTGATGATACTGGGCGTGGAGTGGGTGTTGAGGATCGTAGCAAACTTCTGTGAATTGGTAATGGTTCAGAAAAAGGCTGCTGAGCGGGATCATCCCAAGACCTCCCACTCGGAGACGTTGTCGCCAAGGCGTTAGTCCCGACCCTCCTCCTGATGACGGGGTTCCTCTATTAGTAATTAGGACTCTGGGGTTGTGGTACAGTTTAACAGCTCCATCTTAATCTCTTGCACTAATTCCACAGATTTAACTACAAAATTGAACTATACATTAGATAAAATTACTGGCTGGCTACAATTACATAATTCACAACTTAACCTTATAAAACTAAAATTATTCTATTTAAACCATACCAAAAAACTGGTTTACAAATATCGTTTAACTATAAAAACACAAAACTAGAAATTGTTAACTCTGGCACTTTGTTAGGAATAGACCTGGACACACATTTGAGTTGGAAACAGCACATACAAAGAGTTGCAAAAAAATATCCTCATTTATTTATGTTCTGCAACACCTTAAACGTGTGACAGATTTTAAGACTTCCGTACTCTCCTATGGCATCATCTTGTGGGGAAACTCTTGTAAGGTAAACAAATTATTTATACATATTACAAAAGAAGTGTCTACGAATATTAATAAATTTGGACAAAATGGAATCATGTAAACCCCACTTCATTAAAAATAAAATGTTAACACTTACATCCAATCCAATACTTATCTACATCCTCGAATCTTGTAAATTCGTTAGGAAACACACAAAACTCTACGCACCTATTAAAAAAATTAAAAGAAATAATAGAAATTTATATAAGCTTAAGATATCCTTCTCCAAATTAAAATTAGTTTCAAACAGCCCTCACGTTATGTCAATAAAGATTTATAACCATTAACCGAATTCCATAAAAATCCTGTGCAATTTAATAAACAATTAAAAATATTTCTTATTAATAAATGTTATTATAATTTAAATGAATTTTTTGACGATAAATAACGACAAAGTAAGAAGAAGACTAGGTACATTGTATAGCAAATTAAATTAATTTATATAAAATAATATTGAATGTTGATGATATGATAATTTATAATTTATGTTTAAAAATTAGATAATACGAAAATAGATAACTCTCTAGTGTTGCTATGCCCTTGCGGGGCGTCACATGTATACTTATCAAAATTGTACCATCTTAAATTTGTAATGTGACATGCAATAAAGAATTTGAATTTGAATTTAACGCACCATTTCTGATCAACAAAGAATAATTGGCAGAATTTGCAACCTACAACAGGGGACTAGGTGCATATGTGTGCGACCAGTAGTGAACTTTAATCTGCTAGTTGATCATAGTTTCGGCATTTGGAATAAACTTACCGTGCTGACTATCTTTCATTGTTAGTCTAAACACCTAATGAAGTTATTTGTTGAACATTGCAGGCTTAGTCAAGTTGATTCTTTGCAATTGTCAACAGTGAACAAGAGTGGTGCCGGCGAGCAGGATCCTCTTGTACTTCAGAATTTCTGTAGTGTAGGAGGAGACAGGGGGAAATGAAACAAAAAATATACAGCTATATTTTTTTCATCTCAAAAAAACCTGTGGTTCTATCTGGTGGTGGTATTCTATATACTGGTGGTTGAATTCACTCGCTAACCACGGCAACTATGGCAAATTTTTCCTTTGTTCAACATTTGACTTTTGACAGGCTCTAAGAACAATGGACGTTGACATATGTTATTCCCATTCATTTTATAGTTTTCTATCAGCATTAGCAATTGAAAGGTGCAATTGTTGCTCAATGCTGCTGTGTTTATATGATGAGTTCAAGGAACAAGAGAACCTCTTTGCTACGTGCGAGGCATTCCATCCAAGTCCTCAAGGGTGATAACGCATTTGCATTATGATTTTTAATGCAGGATAAATATAGTTGTCTATGAGCCACAGCATCCACTTATAATCAGGTGGGCTCTGTGGTCGCTTGTCAATGTTGTTCTAAAAAAAACTTGTGGTGGCACTAGAAAATATCTACCTGGGTACCTAATATCATTCAGACAGAGGAAATTGACACAGGAGTAGGAAACTAGAAGAACAGGCCGCAACATCTTCCTCGGAACAACTCAAAATAATAAAATACTGCGGTTGACAACCAGCTCGCCAACTGTGCCAACCACGTAAAATATCTCCCCAATGAGAAATTCTACGGGAAAGCCGTTTTAGCATTAAACTTTTGACAAACCGCAAAAACTGAATGAATAAAAATGTTTTAATATAATGATTTCTTAAATTTACGCGAACACTACACATTGAATAAAACTATTATTTACGGATTTTATCGCGTTTAATTACTTTAATTTATTTTTATTATTATCCCGACGTTTCGGGTGCTTTACAGCGCCCATGGTCACGGGGGGGACTGAGATGTTTGACGTCCCAATGTCATAGTTAGTCCGGCTACCTTCAGTTTTTTAATATTAATTTTTGGTCCGATTTACGCAAAACGAGCTTATAGTATCATGAAGTCTTGCAGTGGTATGCTTGGGTTTGGGTTTAATTTTGTTGATTATAGGATCCCAAGCAGATGGTAGCACCCAACCATCTTCTCTATTGAAATTTGGATGTTTTTTAATTTCAATAGCCTCGCGTATCATCCTTGGTAGGAATCGGTGTTCTTTTGCGAGAATTTGTGGTTTATCAAATCTAATGTAATGGTGGGGACGATCTTGAACATGTTCGCAGACTGCAGACTTCCCGGAGCGTCGGTGCTTCACATCAGCTATATGTTCCTTCACGCGGGTTTTTATAGATCTCTTTGTTTGACCTATGTAAGAGAGACCACATTCACAATCTAGCTTGTACACACCTGCATCTTGTAGAGGAATATTACATTTGATGGATGGTAAAAATTGACTAATCTTCTTCAGCGGCTTGTAGTATGTCTTAATGGACGCTCGCTTCAAGATGTAGCCAATCTTGTCCGTGACTCCTCCAACATATGGTAGTAGAGCAGGTGCGCGCTCGACTGTTGCCGGCTTCACTCGTTCACTGTGACGTAGGCGCGGGACCCGAAGCTTGTTGTCTTGCAATACTTGCTTGACGTGCTGAAGCTCCGCGGCCAGATGTTTTCTGTCACAGATCCCTCGTGCTCTCTGAAACAAAGATTTACCCACGGTAGCTAACTGTGAAGGATGATGGTGAGATTCACCATTTAGATATCGGTTGGTATGGGTCTTTTTCCTATACACAGTGTGACCAATAGTGTTATCAGGATTTCGGATGACTAAAACATCTAGGAAAGCTAAAGAATTATTTGCCTCTAACTCCATTGTGAATTGTATTTTAGAGTTTATGGAGTTAAGGTGGTCTAAAAATGCAGTTACTTTGTCAGATGGTAAAATTGTGAAAGTGTCGTCTACGTACCGCTTGTAGAACCTTGGATTTACAGGAGCAGTAAGAAGGGCTTTCTCCTCAAAGTCCTCCATGAATATGTCGGCGACTATGGGAGACACAGGTGAGCCCATCGCCACACCATCTACTTGCTTGTAGAACTCCTCCTTCCACAATAGATAGCCAGATGTGAGGCAATGTTCAAGTAGTATTGCATATTCTTGAGGCATGTTATTTTCTTCTAGCTTCCTAGTTACAATTGAGATGCAGTCCATAATAGGTAGGCATGTAAATAGTGACTGAACATCAAAACTGACCATAGTTTCATTGTTAGCGAGATGTAGGTCTTTTATCTCACTCACAAAATGGTATGAATCCTTTGTGTGTGCTCTGGTATGTCCTCTCAGTGGTGATAGTATTTTTGCTAAGTATTGTGCCAGCTTATAAGTTGGTGAATCGATCTGGCTCACTATGGGACGTAGTGGAGCGTTTGGTTTGTGTATCTTCGGTAACCCATACAACCTCGGTGGTTTGGCACATGATGGTATTAGCGAATTCACGTCGAGATTTAATTTTTCGGAGTATTTCTTTATTAAATCGCTAGTTGTTTTAAGCGTGTTAGTTGTAGGGTCTGTTTTGACCTTTTTATATGTACTTTCGTCCGATAAAAGTTGTTGTATTTTAAAATTATATTCCGACGCGTCCATTACTACCGTAGCATTTCCTTTATCCGCGCGGAGAATCGTGAGTTCTGGTCTGTTCCGTAAGTTATTTAGCGCTGTAAATTCGTCTTTGGGAAGGTTTGGTTTCGGCACTGAACTGCGACGTAACAAGGACGAAATATCTTGACGTATGGCCTCCAAATCTTCCTTACCGATATTATTCTTAAACAGACAATCCTCAACACTGCAGATAATTTCTTCGTACGGGATTTTTCGCGGAGTTAATGCGAAGTTCATTCCCTTCGCTAATACTTTCATTGTCGGTTCGTCCAGTGTGTGTTTTGACAAATTACAGACAGTGCGTTGTTTATAGTTTGTGTCTATGGTCAACGGTTGTTTATTGTTCTGGCGTTGACTTGGATGTTTGGCATTTGATTTGATCGTTAATTTTTGGTATTTTTCTATTTGTTTATTTTTGCATTCATTGTATTTTGATGTTTCTCGTTTGTTTAAAGTTTCGATGCAATTATTAAAATCAAATGTCGTTAAAATTGTCTTTAGTTCACTGGACAAATTGTCTATGGTGTTGTTTATGAAATGTAAATCGAACCGTTTCTGCTGAATCACCGTCCGTAACAACTTTTTACTTGCCTGATTTAAGATCTTAGCGCTTCCTCGAATGTCCTTCTTTGTTGATATTTTGACACACGTAGGAATGAGATTATGGTCTCTGCATCTCTTCAAGAAATTTAAAGATGTTATATATCTTGCGCGCTTGGTTTTAAGATCTTCTAATCGGCGAATTTTATTTGCTATTACCAGTCCGTACTGGTTCACATAATGATTTCTTAAATTTGCCTCACACCTCTTAAACATGCCTCAAGAATATGCAATACTACTTGAACATTGCCTCACATCTGGCTATCTATTGTGGAAGGAGGAGTTCTACAAGCAAGTAGATGGTGTGGCGATGGGCTCACCTGTGTCTCCCATAGTCGCCGACATATTCATGGAGGACTTTGAGGAGAAAGCCCTTCTTACTGCTCCTGTAAATCCAAGGTTCTACAAGCGGTACGTAGACGACACTTTCACAATTTTACCATCTGACAAAGTAACTGCATTTTTAGACCACCTTAACTCCATAAACTCTAAAATACAATTCACAATGGAGTTAGAGGCAAATAATTCTTTAGCTTTCCTAGATGTTTTAGTCATCCGAAATCCTGATAACACTATTGGTCACACTGTGTATAGGAAAAAGACCCATACCAACCGATATCTAAATGGTGAATCTCACCATCATCCTTCACAGTTAGCTACCGTGGGTAAATCTTTGTTTCAGAGAGCACGAGGGATCTGTGACAGAAAACATCTGGCCGCGGAGCTTCAGCACGTCAAGCAAGTATTGCAAGACAACAAGCTTCGGGTCCCGCGCCTACGTCACAGTGAACGAGTGAAGCCGGCAACAGTCGAGCGCGCACCTGCTCTACTACCATATGTTGGAGGAGTCACGGACAAGATTGGCTACATCTTGAAGCGAGCGTCCATTAAGACATACTACAAGCCGCTGAAGAAGATTAGTCAATTTTTACCATCCATCAAATGTAATATTCCTCTACAAGATGCAGGTATGTACAAGCTAGATTGTGAATGTGGTCTCTCTTACATAGGTCAAACAAAGAGATCTATAAAAACCCGCGTGAAGGAACATATAGCTGATGTGAAGCACCGACGCTCCGGGAAGTCTGCAGTCTGCGAACATGTTCAAGATCGTCCCCACCATTACATTAGATTTGATAAACCACAAATTCTCGCAAAAGAACACCGATTCCTACCAAGGATGATACGCGAGGCTATTGAAATTAAAAAACATCCAAATTTCAATAGAGAAGATGGTTGGGTGCTACCATCTGCTTGGGATCCTATAATCAACAAAATTAAACCCAAACCCAAGCATACCACTGCAAGACTTCATGATACTATAAGCTCGTTTTGCGTAAATCGGACCAAAAATTAATATTAAAAAACTGAAGGTAGCCGGACTAACTATGACATTGGGACGTCAAACATCTCAGTCCCCCCCCGTGACCATGGGCGCTGTAAAGCACCCGAAACGTCGGGATAATAATAAAAATAAATTAAAGTAATTAAACGCGATAAAATCCGTAAATAATAGTTTTATTCAATGTTTTAATATAAGTTCTACCTTTCCCAAATAGTCTCTCTCTTCTCTTCGAGTCTCTTCGAGCACACCGTTTAGTTATTTATGGCTTCGATTAAGATACTTTACATAAAGATAAGAAGAAAGAAAGTAAAAATAGAGTAAAATATTTTCCAGGTAACCCTAAATGAGGAAATATTAAAAGCAATTGGAGCAAGCACAAATAAACCAGAAGAAAAAAAGAGGGTGTCTTGGCTGACGCTGATGAGGAACCGGGCGCTGCTGATAAGGCTGGTGGCGTGCGGCTGGTGCTGGGCCGCAGCTGCCTTTGTATACTACGGGCTCACTATCAACGCGGTCGCGCTCTCCGGGGACAAGTACATCAACTTCGCGCTTAACATGGCCATGGAGATCGTCGCATCGTTGCTCATCATGATGGCGCTCGAGCGGTTCGGAAGAAAGAAGAGCATACTCGTCTCGTTTTTGGTCTGCGGCGTTGCCTGCATTGCGCCGTTTTTTACATGTGAGTATCCTGAGAATGCAATTTAGGTGCATTTTTATAGCATATATATAATATATTTAGGGGGCAATAGTTTAAATTCTGGTAAGTACTTATTATATTGAATTCAGTTAAAATAAAAGTAAACCTATTGACTAAATCAATCTAAGAACGTCTTCCTAAATTTAGCAAATAAAAAAATGTGGCTGCCAACTAACTTATAATAAGGAGGGCCTATGTTAGGCAATAGAGTTTGAAATCATAACAGCCTATTGAAGTCCACTGCTGAATACAGGCCTCCTCCATAGTTGGGGGGGGGGGGGGTTATTTCTATAGTTATCACGCTTGGCAGGTTGGCAACTGCACTTTTTTATATTTGTTACTTGCTATTGGGCTCTCTCATGCCTTTTACACACCCACGGACGATACGTAGTGAATATTGATTTGGACTTTAGTATGTTCTAATGAATAATGAATCAACTCCAACAATTCATATACATCATCATAATCTTCACATGGAAGATAAGTTTTTTAAGAGTATAGGTGACAAGCGAGCACATAGTATACCTGACAGTAAATGGAGGCTGTGACAGTAAATGGAGACTCTACATTCACCATAGGACATAGCAGCATTAAGCTATTTTACGATGGTAGTCTATGAGAGCGTGATCCTACAAAATCGAGCCAACCCATTCCTGCTGCAAACATAATATGGCTGCAGCTGTACTCTACCACATTCACCTAAATCCCAGCAAGCGATATTTGGTGAGCGTTAGTAATTATCCCACATTGATCGGTGTTCACAGCGCACGCGGGCACGAGTCTGGGGCTGTACTTCGCGGGCAAGCTGGGTGCGACGAGTGCGTTCAACTCGCTGTACGTGTACAGCTCGGAGCTGTTCCCGACGGGCGTGCGGGCGCGCGCGCTGTCCGCTGTCTCGCTGCTGGGCCGCGTCGGCTCCGTGCTAGCGCCGCAGACGCCGCTGCTGGTAACTTATAGACTCCTATAGACTAGTTAGGCACTACAGTACTTGGGAAAATGCCTTGCGGGGGCCAGGACATTTTTTTATTCATTTATTCTGAACAATTCAAAATATTAACAACTAGATTTACAACTATACAAAATTACAATAAAAATATGAGATTACAATAATTAATATACAATTAAATTATATAAAATGGGAATAACTATAGAATTACAATAAAAATTACAAGTCAAATCTCACCAAGTATTAAATATCACACAAGAATAGTAACTATATTTGTTAGAGAAAAAAATTGTACATTGAACAAATAACGCAAAATGACAAGTTGTGTTTTGATGAGGCGTCAAAACGAAATCAATTGTGTGAACTTCAGCTAAAATTGCTTACCGTACAAGGACTTAAAAACTACAGTACCAATACATCGCGACATTTTATGGTCGATTCTCTCTAGCTTATTTCGTCGACTGCGAGCGAAAAGATTAGTTCTTTATTTTGTAAACGTTGTTTTCAAATTAGGAGTACCCTATATATATGGATGTGAAGGAGGCGAGAGAGGTGTGTCAGGATCGTGCCAAATGGAAATCTGTAGTCTCTGTCTACCCCTCTGGGTGACAGGCGTGAGTGTTTATGTTATGTTATGTTATGTTGTTTTCATTGATTAAAACTACTTTTACGGGTTTTATCTGGTAGGAATCGTAGTTTTTTCGCGAGGATTTGTGGTCTATCAAATCTGATGTAATGGTCGGGGCCGTCTAGGATATAATCACAAGTAAAAGGCCAAAGTGAAGGCCCAAGGATGATACGTGAGGCTATTGAAATTAAAAAAAACATCCTAATTTCAATAGAGAAGGAGGCTGGGTACTACTACCTGCTTGGGCTACCTTATAATCAATAAAATTAAAACTAAATCCAAGCATACCACTGCAAGACTTCAAGACACAGTCAGTTCATTTTGCATATAGATCGGACCATAAACAATAATTAAAAAAGCCGAAGGTACTCCGGGTTTAACAATGACATCGGGACGTCAATCATCTCAGTCCCCCGTGACCATGGGTGCTGGAAAGGACCCAAATTGACTCGAATCAATCCGAATCGTAGGGAATTAAAAATAATTAAAATTAAACGCGATAAAATCCGTAAAAGTAATTTTAATCAATGTGTAGTGTTCGCGTAATTATAAGAAATCATAACGTTGTATTCGAAAATCTTACAATAATTTTGTTTAAAGGGACCAAGAAAACGCTGTCCTTATTTATGTGCGCAATTTGTCGACGTGATTTGAAACTTATTTCGCGTGCCCTTACTACTTACTGTTTTAGGAGATTTTGATTTTACTATATTTCACGTGATAAAAAAGATGAAACACCAAAAAGCTGAATGTTTGCTCATGTGCGATTTTTGTTTGTATAATGTTTTCACGACACAGAAGAAAACACAACTGTTGCCTTGTTACTGTTTTATAGAATAAGGGTGACAAACGAGCACACAGTCCACCTGATGGTAAGTGGATGCTGTAGCCCATAAATCTATCCTCGATTACAAATCAAAATTCAGATGGCATTGTCACCCCCGTGAAATGTCTCGGTTCCAGTAAAAAGGCTCAGGATACTCACCATTATGAAACACAACTACAATAAGATGCTATTTTACGCTGGTATTCTGTGAGACCGGGGTCCCTTTTAAAGTCGAGTCAACCCTTTCGTGCTACAACCATAATATAGCTGCAGCATGCGGCATTAAGTCAATATTAAACAGCATTCGGGCTCTAGTACGTAACGATCTTGTTATGACTAGTAACATAATTAATAATTTAGCGTTCATAAGTGCTATAGGAGGTTAAACTTGCGACAGTGTATTGAAAGTTTTGTGCGTGGTGTGCACAGAGCCGCAGCGCACAGACGCTGCTGTACGGCGGCAGCGCGCTGTCCGCGGCCCTGGCGCTGCTGCTGCTGCCGGAGACGCGCCGCGAGCCGCTGCCGCACTGACGCGCAGCCGCACTGCCGCGCAGCCGCACTGACGCGCAGCCGCACTGCCGCGCAGCCGCACTGACGCGCAGCCGCACTGACGCGCAGCCGCACTGACGCGCAGCCGCACTGACGCGAAGCCGCACTGACGCGAAGCCGCACTGACGCGAAGCCGCACTGCCGCTGCTATACTGACGCAATACCACTAGGGTTGCCAACTTTTTGTACTAGATGAATAACTTTTTATGGAATAAGCTTGAATAGAATAGAATTGAATCAGTTTTATTTAATATAGATTACAAGAATTCTAATTGAAAGTAATTTAAGTTTTACCACGGGTTCAGAAAAAAAATCTCTGTCCTGGGAATAACCAACATGAAACCCAGCGGGATTTTTTTCTAAACATTAATTCACAATATTATATTTTATAAAATTATGTATTAAAACATTTAGAAACAATATGGTAGCGATTCACGCGCGATTCAAGATTCGCTAACATGTACTAGTATAACAACCTTTATTAAACAATTTTTGCTTAATAAAAATTTTGAACATTTGATACATAGATAGGTCCTGCATATTTTCTAGGACTTTGATAAACGAGCACATAGTCCACTCGATAGTAAGTGGATGTAGTGACCCGTAGACATCTATATCTTTGATTAGGAATCAGAATGCAGATGCGTTGTAACCCATGAGGACTAAGATGGATGGACAATCAAAATGGAATGCCTCGTTTCGAATACGAAATACAACGGCCTTAAGCTGCTATTTTACGCTGTTATTCCGTTAGAACGTTGTCCTTCCCGGATCGAGCCGACTTATTTGTGCTGCTAGTGTTGTATAGCGGCAGCATCGCTCAACCAAGTGAAACGTATAGTATGTTAAAGTCGGAGAACTTAAAAAAAACTGAATTTAATTTTTATGAAGTATTTTATGAAGAAGTATGTTTTTGGCTTCTTCCTCAATTTATCATCATTTTATAATACTCGTGAGCCTCCCCCCAATTTAAGTCGACACTAAACACTGCCGCTGTACAGCACTGTCGTAATGCCAGTAGGGTTAACAATGAGCTTTTTGTACAAAATGTAACCTACGAATATATTAAAGTCGGAGAACTAAAATAAAAACTAGGAAAAATAAACAGTATTTTAGAAAAATAAATAGAACATTTCTATCGAAGTTTTAAAACGTGTTTTTGGAACTTCTTCCTGAGCTTATCAGTTTTTTTATCATTTTAAAATACTGGTAAGTCTTATCCAATTTAAGTCAAAATTAAAATAATTGACCTAATTTTTTACTAAGCCAATAGAAGCTCTATTTCAGGTATTATGGCTCAGGATACCAGCGATGATAAAAACAGTATTATACACATATTTTTTAATAAAACAGTAAACAATATTTGAGAGCGAAATAAAGTTTAATACTGTTATTAACGGTATGATTGGCAACCCTTAATGCTACACTGCTGCACGCCCGTACTGTTACAATACCGCAATGTATGTGTAAATTTAAAATTGTTAAACGTATCTTCAATAGTGTGATCTATAATATAATAGATGACTACTTCGAGAAAAAAGATGTAAGGAAATAAAGTTTTTTTATAACGATGAAAAACGAGCACACAGTCCACCCGACGGTAAATGGATGCCGCGGCCCACAGACATCTACATTTATCTCCGATTAAATAGCTGCAGCGTGGCGCCACTATAAAAAGTTGACAGCGCAAGAGATACACGATCACACGGACGGTCCCGCGCGTGGCGTCAGCGGTGACGGAACCAAACTGAAACAAACACATCACAGATTCCTTCCAGAAATTTCTTCTTCTCTGCAACGTTTTACTTTTATAAATATTATTGACCTTGCTGTCTTACAATATGCATATGAGTCTATTTCCTTTAATTTTTATAAACAACACTGTTTATATTTTTTATGTTTATATTGGAGCCGTGGTAGCTCAGATGGTTAACGCTCGCTATAAATATAACAGAACGCGAGTAACTCGGGTTCGATCCCCGCCGGCACCAATGAAATTGTTAATTGCAATTTTAAATGCTAATTTACCACGTGCTCTGCGGTGAAGGAAAAAATCGTGAGGAAACCTGCATGTCTGAGGAATAAGAAAAAAAATATTTTCGAAGACATGTGAAGTTCACCAACACGCATTTGGGCAGCAAAAAAATACAATAAATGACATAAAACAGGATCTAAATTATACATATTATTCAGAAAATCGTTTGTTAACTTAGATATAAATTAAATGATTTCGTTCTGCTCTAAAAGATTTATATGTGTTACCCACAAGCCTGTAATATATTATAATTTAGTTATTTTTAATCTTAGAACGTAATAAAAAATACCGAAATGATGGAGTCATTCGGTATTTTTTATTACGTTCTAAGATTAAAAATAACTAAACGGTCAGTTCAATTTTCGATATATCGGTAAATATAAATACATCAATATCGGAGTTTTATATATAAATTTGTTTAACGATATATCGAAAATCCAATATTTAAAAAACTATCAACAATTTTAGTTTGAACTGATCGGTTGGAATGATCAGTTTAACTGACCGTGTGTGGCCACCATTAGGTGGTTCCTGCAGTATAAAATGAAGTTATTAACCTTCCCCTCACCATAAGCATAGTAAAAACAGAATAGTAGAATAGCTCCCATGCCGCGCGAGACTTAAATGCCTAGTGTTGCAGGATTGTCAGCGTATTTTTGTTTAACAGCTAAGTCTCATTGAGTATTATAAGTAGTTATAATATTTACAAACATAATATTTTTATATATTTTTTGTCTGAAAAAATATTAGTAATCTTATTAATTAACATTACTAATATTACTTTTAACCACTCCTAAGCTTGAAACGCTTGTTTTAGGAGTGGTTCACGATAGTAGTCAAATTGGGGATTCGAACCCACGACCTTTTGAGTTCACGACCCGAGCCCTGCCGTTAGGTATGCATGCACGTACCTATGCATTATAATTGTTAATAATTTCTTTAGTTTCCTCTCAAAGAATAAATGTTTGTCAAAAAAAATTCCAGCTTTAAATTACAACAAATACCGGGTAACTAAAAGACGAGTAAATTAACACTAAGCATATTATGTTGTCAGCTCAGATTTAATGTTTAAAATTTATTTGATCTGATGTGATATAATAATTAATGTACTTATGAGGTATGTATCTATGTATAGATGTAATAATATAACGTATTAATAAAATGCTAATTTACTTAAACAAACGCATATATTAATTTATATTACAAAAATATAAAATAAAACGAAGAAAAGACTGCTAGCAAAATTTTATTAAAAGTCAATGAAGTCTCAAACAAAGGTGATTGCGGAGCGCGGCGGTGGGCGTCCCTGACTCGACTCGATATTTTCGATTTAGCAAGTGTCGTTGTTTACGTGCTGTGGCTCGTGCGTACGAGTCCGTACTGTCACGTGCGTGCCTGGCACACATATTAGCGGCGTTCGGTACATTTCTTAGAAGATAGCTTACTATTCTGTTTTTACTATGCCATAAGTTTATGACTATTATCATATAACATTCTCTTTTTTTTAATACATTATAATTATTGTTGACTAGTATGTTACAAGTACGTACATATCCAGACTGTGATACTGTTGTAAATAAACATTACTTAATATGTACAATGAAGTTTTTATAACCTTTTAAATTAAATTGAATGAAACGGATTTTATCGCGTTTAGTTTAACTTATTTTTAATTCCCGACAGCACTTATGGTCACGAGAGGCACTGAGATACTTAACGACTGATGTCATAGTTAGGCTGTTAATCAGTGCTGGATTAACCATGTACACGTAGCAAGAGTAGCAATTGCTATGGGTCCCACGCAAAATGAGGCCCCACGTATCCAAACCCACCTATCACCGTCTGAACGGAACTTTTTGAATGAAATTTATTAAGACGTGGTATATTGAATTTATTTGATATTACAAAATCGTGAAACTTTACACTTTTTCCGGCGTAGACAATCCACGTCAGAAAATGGGTAACCAATTATTACGTTGGTGAAAATAATAGAATAACATAGAAGCCATTTCATACGGTACAAGTTCTACAAAGTCTGATGTGTGCAAGAAAATATTTTAGTTAATTTATTTTTTATAAAATAAGGGTGACAAACGAACACATAGTTCAACTTATGGTAAGTGGATGCCATGACCCATAGACATCTACAGTTATCCTCGATTAAGAATCAAAACACAGATGCGTTGTCACCATTGAGGACTAAGATTGAATGCCTCGTTTCCAGTAAAAAATGTCTCCGGATCTCTACACTCACCATACGAAACACAACAGTATTAATCTGCTATTTTACGCTAGTATTCTGTAAGCTTAGGGTTCGTGACAATAAAAACTGCCGATTGAATTACCAAAATTAACACTTAAATTTACTTTACACCAATTAAAACTTAAAAGACACTAATAATTAATCACACTGATTCACTTTATTTCGCTCCGAAGCTTCGCTTGTCTCGCCAAATTCAATACTGCCCGATCGTGGCTTGCAGCGAGTTTAAATACACGTTTACACCGAAACATCCAGAATATTCCCGTAGATACGGGCGCCGACCGACCAGACGCAGAAAGTTCGAGTGTTGGACTTCTAGAGAGCTTAGATCTTCAATTGGATACTAGATGGCGCTGTTGGTTGAAAGATTATTCATGGCATTTTCTGGAAAGCTTTCCTCGCTCTGTTACCCAGCACTAGATGGCGCTAGTGCCAGGTACCAGACGCCAACTTAAGCGCGCGACACTGCCCCCTCCTAGGACATGCTCGTCCCGAGCATTATCGGCCCCATAATAACGTCCACATTGACGATCTTAGGATTCCCTCTTGTGCTCTTGTTTCTGTATCCAGTAGGTTACATCGTTGATCCTGGTCACAATCCGGTACGGGCCCTCCCATTTAGCTTGAAGCTTAGGAGATTTCCCTTTACTGCGGACTGGATTAAGCAACCACACTAGTGAACCT